ATCTGTATCTGTATCTGTATCTGTATCTGTATCTGTATCTGTATCTGTATCTGTTGCATGATATTTGCCCATTGCGCTTTTGTTGCACACGACAACAATATCTTTAAGTGATGCATGCATTTGCGTGAACGCCTGTGTGTGTGTGTGTGCCTAATGCAGTGGAAAGCAGTTTTTGCCACAAGGCGTCATTCCCTCGACACAGACACACACACACACACAGGCAGGCAGCTTGGAAATTTCCGCTGTTGTTTGGCTCATATTTTTGAGGCATAAATAAATTTTCATTAATTTATGCGACTGCGACGCTGAAAATGCCTTAGCGCCGGCAAAAAAGCAGCATAAGTTTCGCCTGGCGCTGCTCAGCTTTGGCGCAAGCCAACAAAATGAAGATGAAGTGAAAGAGGAAGCAAGATAAAGTGCGCAAGAAAGGCAGGACGGGCGTGTGGACGGGGCAGGCAGAGGGAAGTCAGCCAAAAAGCGCAGCCGAACATTATGGCTGCATTTTGTGGTTGCAGTCCTTGACGATGATGAATCCCGCTTGATATACTGGCCGCAAGTTATGAATGGCTAATGAAGCGCGTATTGAACAACGAAATAGTTGCATATTAAGCATACGCCGCGTGTGCTGAGTTGACCTAATTGAAATAGAATCAGCTCGCACACATATACTGCATATCGTTATTCATTTAATCCATGATTCATATGCGCACGAGAACTTCCATCAATATTAACTGAGGCAAACATTTTTTAAATATCAAGCGAAATTATAAAACATTTTGTATGAAAAAACAGTTGAATACTTAATTTTTTGTTGGACATATCATTCATTCTGATGTGGGCTCGGAAAAACTCTTTGGTATGTTAAATATTTGACCTTTAGAGCAACTTTCAGGCAGATTCATTTGGGTTTTGGCTGGAGCTGTTGCAACGCGGCGTATGCGTAATATATTTGAAGCTTATTTCACAGAGCTCGCACGTAAAGCGAAATGTATGCAAATAAACGGACAGCGCTCATACGCCCCGCAGCACTGTAAATACACAGACACACGTGCAGCTGAACAGCTGACATGGATAGGCAAACAGTTGCTGTTCCCGTATGTGTGTGTGCGTGAGTGTGTGTGTGTGTGTGCGAATTTTATTTGCGTTTGCCCAAAGGTTTAGCGGTAACGGCATTTTTGATACGACTACAAAAACTAAAGCCAAACACGAGCAACAACAACCGAAAGGTAGAGGCTAATACTCTTATAGCTTGAACTAGAAGATATCCTGTAAATTTATCGTAAGGTATCTCAATTCTTTTTTATGTTTCGTATCTGTTCTTTATTACTAATATTTTGTATAAGATTTACATTTATTTGATACTTTTGTTTTGATGACCATCATTTGTATCTGCACATATACATATTTTAGCAACTGTAGCTCTAGCAGAATCCGTAGCAATGCAAGTTCATGCCTTTTAGGCTTCGTGATACCCTAGGCCCACCACAATTTGTATGCCTGCAGCGCAGACCCAGGCGAGGTCAGATCTTAAAGCGCTTAGTGTCAAAAGTTTGTTTGTTTATTTGTTTGTTTATGTTTTATGTTTTATGTATGTATTTTTTTTACGATTTTTTGTGTGCTTGCCTAAGGGTGACCTGCTGTCATTTTACGGCTTTATCAAAACTAATAAAAACTGCGCCTTAAAGCGTCAGCCTTAACTGAAACACGTTGCGTGTGCCACGCGCTCCGCAGCAATCAGAGGCGGTGTTAATACGGTTAATGCCGCTGCGGCTGTGCCACATGGTCAGCAGATAGCGTCAGCTTGGTTTGTTTTTTTTTTTTTAACTTGTATTATTGTTAAACTGCATTTATTTACTTAAAGCGTGTAAACAATTTATCAATGCAAATGTTGTCGTTGTTGCTGTTTTTCATTTAAGTGCATAAACAAACGTGCGTGAAATATTCAATTAAAAGCTGTTAAATGAAACAATTACAAAGCGATGGCCAGGACAAGGAGCCCGACGCACCGCACACAAAGTGCAAATGAAGCAATGTCAACAGTGGTCAATGGCTGCACCGCACACAGACCCACACACACACACAGATGTATGTGGCACACTTAATTGTGCCACAAAGTGAGTTATGCCTGCAATCGATGAGCCACACATACATATAGACATACACATAGCTATATATGTATATCTTTGTATATCTGTATATAAACTTTATTTTTATTTTAACTCAGTTTTTGTTTTTTAATTGTTGTTGGAATTTCGCTGATTGCCGTCAGTTGTTTGTCTGCCCGGAAGTTCACACAAACAGATTGTGCTTAATGCTCAGCAATGAAAAAGCACAATTTATAATATCTCTCCATACATGGTATATGTTTGCTGCCCAGAGGCAGCGGCCAAAGCAAAGCCAATGAAAAACACAAATTTTAATTTGATTTTAAATTTACAAATATTAAATAAATATCAGAAAATATATATGTACACACTCACATCGATAGCAGCAAACACAAACACATAACATGCTCAAGGCACAATGCCTGCATACATACATATATGTATATATTCCTGTAAGATCTATATATTTTATGAAGAATAAACAAACTCATGATCGATCATCAGCTGTTCTGTCCGTTAAGATCAAAATTTGAATGGAAATCATGGCAATGTACCAGGCGAACAGAGACGATAAGTAGGGTGACAAATATTGCAACATTGTTTCATTGTTTGTTTACAATGTTATGTTAAATAACAATGCTGTGTGATCGCACTGCTAATTAACGTTTTTGTGCGCCCGATCTGGCGAAACTTGGTCATTTATGTTGATGAAGTACCAGGCGCACAGAAATGAGTTGTAGGGTGAAAAATTTAAATTAACAGTCAAGTAACAGCGTACTACTCTAAAGGTAATGTTAAATAACAGCCACTTAACAGAACTATGTTAAAGTTAACATGGCTATGTTAACTAACATAAATTTTACAGAGTTATGTTAGCTAACAGTGGACCTAACATAATTCTGTTAAGCTAATGTTAACTAACATTTTTCACTCTGCTACCCATTTCTGTGCGCCTGGTACTTCTGAAAAGTTTCTACTCAAATTTGAGCATGTGCGATGAGTTAACATAACTCTGTTAGCCACAATAGGTTAACATAATTCTGTTTGATTCGCTGTTAACAAAAATGATCACTCTTCTTCTTATTTCTGTTCGCCTGCTGCTTCTGATAACCTGAGGCCTCAACGGCCACATCAGCAGCCCCCTAAGTTATGCAACAATATTTGGCAAAGAGCCCATTTCTGACGGTTGACCTTTGAAAATAAATTGCCCGCCAAGAATCCATGTTAAATGAAAAGACAGTTGATTTAATGATTGATTTAAAATATTTATTGATATTGTATGTACAATTTATGCTAAATTAAATCTCTATTACACATACATCTTAAATATAAAGCTTTTACAGTGAACGCTTAACTACATATACTGGATCATTTTGCCATTGCATGTCTATATCCCTGCAAAATAATATTTTATTGGGGATGATGATGTCATTCGATACTCTTAGCTGCATGAGTGTTGAGATCTGAAAATAAAAAATTACAAAGAAAAAAATATGTTAGAAAATAATGAGCCGCAAGAGAGTTGGATTAGCTGATGGGCACTTACCTCTGTTAATTATGTTTAGCTCCAAGCTAATGATTGCTCTTCCACAAGATAAAACATGACGTGGTAAACAGCAATATAAGGTCGTCTCTTGGTTGCAGCTCTATAAGAATATATAAATATAATTATTTTCATATTAAAATATATTTACCGTATGTAGAAATAAATAAATATAAATAAACTTACACATTGACTAGATATTTATCTTATAGATACAATATAATTATCTTTACATAGTGATCTAAGCAACATATGTTTATCGAACCAACTGTTCAGATTTTAAGAAACTGCGAAACTTTTGAGTTTCAAGCGCTTAAATAAGAGAAATACTTGGATAACTTCATAAAGAAAACTTTGGCAAATCCCAAAATGCAAAACCTAAAAGAGCTTTCCATTCGATTTTTTCTCTGTCGAAATAAACTAAGCCACACACATATTTAATTCCTGCTGGTTTTCACCGCTTCTTGGCCAAGTTTACAAATGTTGTAAAAAAAAAAAGGAAAATCATAATGAAATGGGGAAAAATACCACAAAGTCACCTTCATTTGAAATTTTTGCAAAAGCTGTCAACTTGAGCGCCCATTGCAGGATAATATGAGGCTTTGGCTCGCCAGCATAGCTCTGTGTGCGTGCCTGTGTATGTGTGCGTGGGTGTAGGTGTACTACATATGTACACCTGCTGCGGTGACATTTTACGGCTTTCTCTTTGTTAATTTCATTTGAAGCATTTAAAATGTGCGACGTGGCTGACGCTGACAACTAAATATACACACACAGGCGCACGCACACACACACACACAGACACAGACACATGGGATACTCACTCTTCATGCAGCAAAGTTTGTCTGCGTGCTTGGCTGTGTGTGTGTGTGTGTGTGTGGCAAAGTCTTTGGTAACTTTTTTAATGACTTCGCCTCAGAGCTCGCATAGACACAGAGAACGAGAGAATGGCAGAGGGTGAGGGATTGTGAGAGATAGAGAGCGGGGGAGAGAGGGTGGCCAAAGCGACTTTTCGCGTGCCAGAATATTTAACCACAAACGACGAGACGTCAAAATTAATTAGAAATAAAATTAGTTTTTAATGCCAAAGTGACTGTGTGCGTGTGTGTGTGCATGTGTGTGCTGGCGTGTGTGTGTGTGTGTATGTGTGCTGTAAAATATACTTTGACAAAAGCAAAAGAAAAGCTGCGGCAAAAGAAGCAAAATGCGTGCGTCAAAACTTTTTGCAAAAAGTTGCGCTCGTTGAAGCTGCGTTGAGTTTCACAGGAAATGATTTAATTTCAACAAGTTTTACGAACACAACCAACAACAACAACAGCGAGAGCACAGAGAATGGAAGCGAACAGAAAGGTGTTGCCTACTTTTTGGGGCGCATTAAAAAGCGGTTTACCTAGAAAGGCGACAAAGCGCTCAGGATTTTGGAACTTGAAATATTTAGGCCTAGCTTGAAGACAACACTCGAAATATGTTGCAGACGAGATAGAGGAATTAAGCTCTTAAGATAATATACATAAATTATATTACAAGATTTATTGAAAGACTCACTTTGGCAATGAGAAGAGAGAGAGAAAGAGAGAGTGAGAGAGAAAGAGAGAGTACATAGAGAAAATGGCAGAGCATTCAAATCAGCTTTCATCTCATAAGGCAAGCCATAAAAGCTGACAAGGCTGACGAGATGACATCATATGGAGTCTTAACAAAAAACTGGAAACATTGTTGTTCATTATTTAAGGCTTACAGCCAAACGTCCTACATATATAAAGCAATCGAATTTTCTGTTCAAAATTTACAAAATACAAATAGAAATTTCTAAAAAAAAAAAAAAAAAAAAAAAAAAAAAAAAAAAAAAAAA